TGTCACTTTTCCCCTCACTTAGGAGTTACAGTTCTTCATGAGAAATATCTGATGATTTAATAACTGTCCTATAAATAAGTCGAGTTTATAATCAATTTTTATCCTACACAAGAGTGGACCCCAAAAGCTAAATAAAACCATCAAGCTAAGAATGATTTTATATTTTTTTAAAGGGTTGTAAAAAACAAACCAAAAAAATGTGATTAAGACCACATATAGCCCTTGCTCTAGCCAGGTTGCTCAGTAGATAGAGCACCGGCCTGTGGACTGAAGCGTTTGGGGTTCAATTCTGGTCAAGGACATATGCCCAGGTTGCAGGCTCGATCCCCACTAGGGGGCTTGCATGAGGCAGCCAATCAGTGATTCTTCTCATCACTGATGTTTCTCTCTCTCCTTCTCCCTTCCTCTCTGAAATAAATAAAAATATTTTTTTAAAAAAAGACCATTTAGAGCCCTAAAATAAACACTATTACTAGGTCTAAAATAAGTACTATCAAGCCCTTTACAGAAAATGTTTTCAGATCCTTGTTCTGTAGTACTAAAGGCACTGGAGGTACAGATTCCAGGGTCATTGCCCAGAAGTGCTCCTTTCTCATCAGATTAACTGGGGGAAAAATTTTCCGTTAAATCAGTTCCAAATAGAATCATTGCTATTTCTCTAACTGACTTGCCTAAATGATTAGCCCTTAAGAAAGTTACTCCCTTCTTTGGAATCAACAGTTTCAGCTGAGGTGCTAGTTAAATGTGCAACTAAATGCAAAAAATTAGAAGCCTTACCTGGGGCATTTGCTATAGTCAAGGGCAGGCTTGGAAGCTGGTGCACCTGGATTCCCGAAGCACCCAAAGCACTGAGGTTAATAGTCTGGAGACCAGGCATGGAGGATAGTTGAGCAGCATTCACAGTGACTGTGCCCGCAGGAATAGAGGCAGCTGAGGCTATGGGTGTAAGGGTGGTATTGCTGCTGCTGGTCTGCCCCAGGGAAACACCCTGCATTGGGGCCAAGGTGATTGTCTGGGCCTGTGGGTTTTGAACTTGGAGGTTCTGCAGCTGAAGAGTCTGCCAACTGACCTGTCCATTGGGCCCCACTGTTGGTGTCCGGATGATGATGGGGCCAGAGTTTGGAACAGCCTGAAGCTGGAGGTTCTGGAGGGTTTCCTGGGAGATAGCTTGAGTTGTAAAGGTCTGCCCTGACAATGGTGCTGCTTGAAGAGCCTGGAGGGTCTGTCCCCCTTGAACTAACTGAGGCTGGATAAGAATCTGTTGTTGCTGTGACTGCTGGTTTTGTTCTCCCTCTTTTTGCTGACTTGTTTGCAGTGAACCTCCAGATGTCTGGTTCTGCTGAATGTTCAGAGCATCAGATCCCTGGAGCCCACTAACCCTCTGGGATGTCTGTCCCTGAGAGTTGGTCCCTGCTGATCCGCTGGTGGTAAAGTTCATAATTCCCATGTTGCTGGTGGTAGTAGTTGTTGAATAGCTATTGGCATTGGTGAAAAAGGAGCTAGAACTGGCTTGTGACGATACCAAACTGGCAGAACTAATGGCAGTCCCTGAGGTGACGGGCTGTGAGCCACTCTCCTGGGACCCAGAGCTGCTGATCGTGACTGCCTGAGAGCTAGGAGTCAAAGTAGCTGCAGAAACACTGTTAACAGGTAGCAAAGTGATATTCCCATTCAGGGCCACCGGCACATTGGTCACATACTGAGTCTGTCCTGAGAGGACATTATTAGCCAGGCCTTGGAGGGGGACAGCCTGCTGGAGTAGATTTGGCATAGCAGCAATGATGTTGCCTCCACTTCCTCGATTTGTGATGATCTGTTGGTTTGCACCTGGTATAATCTGTATTTGACCAGAACCGTCCTGCTGCACTTGGGCCCCAGTAGCAGCAAATTGCAGCTGTTGCCCATCAACGGTCTGGAACTGTGGGATTACCTGATACTGAATATTAGGCATCACACCAGGTAGTCCTGTCAGGACTTGCTGATTCTGTAAATTGGAGGTGGCAGCCACAACATACTGCCCACCAGAGACGGTACGATTCTTGGAAGACTCACTGCCATTGCTGCCATTGGTACTGCTGCCACTCTGTTCCTTTGAGGTAGGAGTAGCCCCAGAGGAGGAAGAGATGATCTGCCAGCCATTGGCACCCTGTGAGAGTTGTGTAGCTGTGAGGTCAAGCTCACTGGTGCCCCCTGACTGGGTTGGGCCCTGGGAGTTGTTGCTGTTTTCATTGGGTGATTCAATTCTGCTGCAAGTTGCTGCCAACAGAGCCAAAGGGGATGGCTGGGATTCCTACCCAAAAAAATGAGAGGGAAAGAATTAGTTTAATGACATCCAGCTGCCAGCCTAGGGGGCAGTATACAACAAATAAACAGCCAACAGTGCAGAAAAAACGAAGAGCAAAAAAACCCAAAAAACAAACAAAACAAAAAACAGCCTACGGACTGAAGGGTCCCAGGTTCGATTCTGGTCAAGGGCACATGCCTGCCTGAGTTGCCAGCTTGATCCCCAGTGTGGTGTGGGCAGGAGGCAGCGACCAATGAATCTCTCTCATCATTGATGTTTCAACCTCTCTCTCTCCCCCCCTTCCTCTCTGAAGTCAATTAAAAAATATGTATTAAGCACTACCTGGTTTGGCTCAGTGGATAGAGTGTCAGCCTATGGACTGAAAGGTCCTGGGTTCGATTCCAGTCAAGGACACATGCCCGGGTTGTGGGCTCGATCCCCAATAGGGGGTATGTAGGATGCAGCCAATCAATGATTCTCTTTCATCATTGATGTTTCTGTCTCTCCCTCTTCCTTCCTCTCTGAAATCAATAAAAAATATATTTAAAAAATTTATATACATATATTTTTAAAAAACAACAAACATGAAAAAAATCTGTTGCTGAAATTCTCATCTTTGGGGAATCTTCTCCAAGTCACCTATCTCTCTGTACTTACTTCCCTATCTATAATGTGGTTAGCCCCTTCGTAAAACTTATTCTGTGAAAAAAACCATCTAAGACTATACATCCTCTCAACACTTTCTCCTCTCTGTCCTGATCGTTCCTTACCTGTCCTCCTCCTCCTCCTCCACTGCTGCTGCTACTGCCTGTGCTGCTGCTTCGAGCCTGAGAAAAGGCACCACCACCATTACCATTGCCCCCATTATTGCCACCAACTCCTTTCTCAATCTTCACCACGGCTGTCATTTCATCCATGGAGTGATCTTGGTCTAAAAAGAATTAAAAGATAAACAACTTAAAGTTGGGGGAAGAAAAAGGGTAAGGTGAGGAAGGGTAGAGGAGGTTATGAGGAAACAGACATGACTAAAAGGTGAAAGGAGAGGGGCGGGGGGTGGGGTGGTGGGGGAATGGATGGGAGAGAAGGGACAGTTGTAGGACATGTAGGATATGAACTAGGCTCACTGATGCCAAACTGGGTCTCAGTCTCCTTTTCACAAACTTAAACTCAGAAAACATTGAAAAGATGCTTTTGGTATAGGAAATGTGAAAGGCCGTGGGCATGTTGAAAGAGTTTCAAAAGAAAAAGTATGGGGGGGGGGGAATAGGTTAAGGCAAAAAACAACATGTGGATGTATAGAAAGCTTGCTAAAATTAGGATCAAAGGAGAAGAATGAGGAAAATGCAAGTACAAAAAGTAACAAAAGGAAAGAAGGGGAAAAAAGAAAAGAGATAAAAGGTGTGAGTGGGGAAACATTTGTGAATTCTGTTTAAGGGACTAAAGGGGTCCAGGGATTAGAAATCTGGAGGTTTCCGGGCGGACTGAGGGCGGACCCTAGAGGGAAAGGGCGGTTTCGGGGTGAGGGGCGTGGAAAGGGCGGGAC